ATTGAATGAAATTCTGAAGTTCTTTTGGACTTGTCATTCTCCTCCTTCCCCCTGCTGAGTGCTGGGGTACAAGACTGCACCCACACCTGGTTTTAGGTTAGGGGGTCCTGGGTATTGAACCTGGGACTTCATTCGTGCTAGGCAAGCGTTCTGTCGATTGCGCTACATCCTCAGCCTTCTGCTGTGTATTCGTTCTGTTTTAGAGCAGGTCTCACCATTTAGCCTCCACTGGCCCTGGCCTCGAGATCCTTCTACCTCAGCCTCTGGGGTACTGGCGCCACAGGCTGTCACCACCATTCCAGCCCTTAGACTATATTTCAGAGAAGGGGAGATCAGTCAGGATAAAGTGAGCAACTGGGGTGTTGACGCTTGTGCGTGCTTGGACTTCATAGCAGCTTCATGGCTTTAAAGAAAGTGGGGCAGGTGCCATTGTCTTCATTTCATGCACGGGAACTGAGTCAGCCGGGCCTGCTGGTTCCCGTCAGTGTCAGCCGCTCAGGAGGCTGAGCTGAGCAGATCATTGTAGCCCAGGAAATTAAGTCCTGCCTGGGTAACAGTGAGAGCAGCTGCAGTGACACCTAAGTAAGAATGACCAACAACAGAGGAAAGAAGAAGGGTATGCTGTACCTAAGATTATAGGAGTAAATGACGCCGCAAAAATACAGTTCTGGGGGCTGATGAGACGACCTAGCGGCTAAAAGCACCCACTGTCAAGCCTTGAATTTGATTTTCCGAACGCAAGAAAGAACCAGCTCCTATAATTTGTCCTCTGACTTCCATGTGTGTGCTGTGGCACATGTGTCCTGCCCCAGGCACATGCAAATAAATGCAATAAGACAAATTACACTCTTTCTTAGCCTGAGCTATTTAAGTGGGATGGAGAGGTGGCCCGGTGGTTAAGAACATTCACTGCTCTTCCAGAGGACCTCCAGCAGATTAAATGACTCCCAACTCCCGATAATTTAATCTCCAGGGCAATCCGATATCCTCTCTGGTCGCTGTGGACACACATATACTCTTTTAAAGAGTCTAGGGAGGGGAGCTGGGGAGATGGCTCAGAGGTTAAGAGCACTGGCTGCTCTTTCAGAGGTCCTGAGTTCAATTCCCAGCAACCACATGGTGGCTCACAACCATCTGTAATGAGATCTGGTGCCCTCCTCTGGCATGCGGGCATACATGGAGGATTAGGGGTGGATATGATACATTAAAATATATTCGTTTTATAAATATGAAATTATAAAAGACTAAAATATAAAGGAAATAAACATTTAAAAACAAATAAAATCCAGGCTTTTGACTTTTGTGGGCTCCTATACTATCATGTATTATCAAAGCATATAATGCAGATTTGAGTTTTAGCCTCAAACTCAGTGGCAACCCTGCCATCAGATCCTGGGTCTGGACCTCACATGAGCCACCATGCCCAGCTGCTGCAGATGTTCTGGATGTCACTTGTGCACCTAAATGATAGCACAGATACCGATTACATTTAACTTATTTTTAGAGCAAGCTGTTTAAGAAATCAAACATTTTGGTCATGTATAAGTAATTATCGGTTTTATCCCAAGTTAAAGTATTTGGTGAGCCTCCCAGCCTGGGGCATCCTAGGTGCCAGCTCTGCCCTAGCCCAGGACTATGTAGCTGGCATCATCAGGGAAAAGAATGTACATTCATCTTTACCCTGGACAGAAAAGAATGGAAACCTGCTCACAAGAGAAAGTGTAACCAAGGAGGAGAGAATCGGATGACAGGAAGATGGGTTTTGGTTCTGAGTGCCAGCCATTCATAGGTTCCTAGGGGACAGTACATCCTTACTTTGGGGTCAAGTCATGCGTACTTACTAACATTTCTAAGGGGGTAGGATGATGCACACCTGTAATCCCAGCACTCCAGAGGTAGAAACAGGATGATCAGGAGTTCAAGGCCATCGTGGACTACTTGAGAAACATCGAATCTCAAAAAATAAATAAATTAATTAAATTATTAAAAATGTTGAGCCCTTGAAAAAGCTAAGGTACCTCTTTGTTTGGGTCATTCAACTGATTGGTTGGTTTTTCTCCAACTCTATGTATGAGATGTGAGCCAAATCAAAAGGGAACCACACTAAATAAATTACTTGCTGTGTTCTTGGAGCTATAAGAATGCTTAAGTCTGCTGCCAGCTCTTTCTTCTCATTGCCTCATCCATGGTCTTTCTGTGTAGACTTGGCTGTCCAGGATCTCACTCTGTAGACCAGGCTGTCCTCGAACTGACAGAGATCCACCTGCCTCTGCCTCTCAAGCACTGAGATCAAAGGTGTGCACCGCCACTGCCCGGCTAAATGGGCCTCTTGGGAGATGGATTTTCTATCCCTGGGCTTCACTAAGTTCCCTCCAGATTGGAGCAGCCTCTCGAGGGGAAGACAGCTGGGCCTAGAATATTGGCATTTTCCCCTTGTTGAGGGAGGACGATGTCAAAGGAGTCTTCTCTGAATTGTCTAATTTGTTCTTGATGTGTCTTTTCTCAGGAACAGTATTTCATTCTTGTCATTATTCTTAGAGTCTCAATGTATATAAAAATATGACTTTCCAAGGTTGACTAAATTTAGAATTTGGACAAGGTGAATTTTATTTAATTTCATTTGTAATTCCAGTTGCTTGGGCTGCGAAAGCAGAATGAAGCTGACCTCAAACTTAAAACAGTTCTCCTGCCTCAGCCTTCCAAGTATTGGGTCATTTTCTAGGAGGGAAGTTCATATAAGCCCAGATCAGCCTGAGCAACATAGGATGATACTATCTCATTAAAAAAAAAAATGGTTAAAGCCCGGGTGAGTTCCAGGACAATTAGGGCTACACAGAAAAACCCTGTCTCGAGGGAGCGGGGTGTGTGTGTGGTTAATTTGCTTGTTAGCAAATACTGTAATATCCAAAGTTTTGTAACTAATACTTTTTAGATGAAACTAGGCATACTGTTTGTGTACTTCAGGATGTGATTGGGGAGTGCCACAAAAACAACCATAAGTGTATAAACCTTGATGGATGTGGTGGTGCTTGCCTATAACCCTATCTTCAGAGGTAGAGGCAGAATCAGAAGTTCAAGGCCAGCCATGGCTTCATAGTGAGTACATGGCTCTCAACAAGAAAAGGAAAAAAAAAAAAAAAAAACATTTTGAGTGAATGTCTGAAATTAAGAGTTCTGGCTAGCAAAATATAATTTTGTATGAAAATTAATTTCAGGTATAATGGAAAGAGGTAGCGCATTGGAGGTCCCAGGGTTCATTAGTGTTCAGCTCTCAAGTTTAATCAAAGCCCCTGAGTTATTTAGCAGTACCCCAAGTTTAGACTTAATAACATGTTTACAAACCACACTTACCACGATAACGAACCCCTGATCTTACGCTGTCAGCCAGGGGCAGCAGAAATTTCTTACACTGTAGAGTCTGCAGCTTGGCTGAAAGGCCACGCTTACCCTTTTAACTGGCCAAAGAAAGCAAAGGAGGAAGCCAGGGGACAGGTAGGAAGCTGGTGTCCTGGAAGTGGGCAGTTTAACTGCATCTCCTGGTCATTGTCATGATAGATTCCAGTTCGTCACCGCTAACAGACCTGTACACGGTTTGCTTGAGAAGTCAAACCAAAGTTTGCTTTTAAAAAGTATTTTTTATTGTTGGACAGTATGGGAGGCAGAGGCAGGAGGATCTCTGTGAGTTCGAGGCTAGCCTGGTCTACAGGAGCTAGTACTGGGACAGTCTAAAGCTACAGAGAAACCGTGTCTCGAAACCAAAACAACAACAAAAATATCATAAAATAAAACCCTGCAAAAAGCATATATCATCACCCTCTCTTGAAGTTACTGGGTTTTTTTTGTAATTAGTCAAGATAATCAGAAGATTCTTTCTCATAGGGTTTTCATTCTAGCTTCTATATTCTTACTCTCCTTCTCTCTCCTCTCTCTCATTTAAGACATGCATGACTTAAACATTAATTTAAATGATCTATGCTCTGTAC